TTAGTCAGAAATGGCATGATAAATTTTATACGGCAGGTTTGTAAATTAGTACATGTACTTCAAGATGACTGTGTACATGCATCCGAATACATTGTGAAAAGGAGGACATGAAAAGTTTTTTGGGTTTTTTTAATCAAGAGCTTTTAATCTTCATGTGAGGGGGAAAACTGTAGATCTTGTGGTTGGTTTCCATTTCATACAGATTCATGTACATGTATCACTCTTCTCGGATCTGCTTGCGGGATTTGCTTGACAAGTTTCCTATTCGTGTATGTGTTAATGCATTAAAAAAAAAGGTGTTTAAACGGTCTATGTGTTAAAATGTGAATACATTTTTTACGTGAGTGTGGAATGCAGCTTTAGTAACTGGCGTGTAAAAAGCAAAATTGAAACATATCTAAAGTCTTTTGTAGAAGGAACGGTTTGTAGTCTGGTCAGGTCCAGCCCATACATCCATCACTAGTTATAGCCAGTATTATAGTTACACTTAACATGTGGTGGACGTGCCAAGTCATAAATGTACTGACTTAATTTCCTGGTTTATATGGTGTATCGGTGTCAATGTTTTGTACTACCTTGTTTAAATCAAGATTTTAAAGGTTAAGGGCATATGGCTCTCCTGGAGGAAATAAAGTTACAGAACCTACTCTTCTGTCTGTAATGGCTGATGTCTTGTGTTTGTTCAGCTACATTTTGAGCAAAGCAACCTTTTTTGTTCCATAGTTTGACACTTATCAAGAGGATGGACAAATGAGCGAGGGTGTCAGTCAAACATGTACCAATTAGAATGACAAAATCAATCTCAAAATTGCTGCAGCCAAGGGACTATATGCCAGGGAAACCCAACTACAAGGTTCTTTTTTCCACAAAAAATCCTGACCCGAGATTTGAAGTGAGAAGGGACCAGAATTTGACTTCATAGGTGCTGTTTTAGTGAACAGGACTGGATATCTGACTACGTATTTTGCTGTTAATAACCAATTTTGCTGATGAAAAAAATGGGCCTCCAGTTATGCCTCCAAGTATGCTTATACTGCTGTTACTAAAGAGCAAAGCATGTATTCATGTGTACAGTGGAACACTGTCATCGTGGATGTACATGTAGGAACCGGAGGGGGGGCAGGAGCCCCCCTAAAAATATAGTTGGGGGGCCAGGCCCCCTTAAAAAGTGTTGTAATTTGCATTGTCAGAGGGGAAGTTTCAGAGTGGATAGTATTTGTAGCAGTGTGTGATAATTTTACTTTAACATAGAAAAAATGACAATTTTAATAATCACTTTCAATCAGGATCTTGCGGTTCCTGTCCCTCCTGCACCCAATAACGAGTCCCATTTCACGCAGTACGCAAGCGACCCACATCGCAGGCCACATCGATGTCCGAAACAGGCTTCCAAAACTCACGGCTAGTTCTATTTTCTCGGTGTCTCCATGTGTTTCCAATGGAGTAAAGCCATAGACCAAGCTCTAGACAACGGATTCGGATGCAACCGGTCCCCTTGTCTACATTATTTTAATTTCTTCCTGTAGTAAAGCCTTGGGAGGGTAGAAATAATAATTTCTACCCTCCCATTACTACTGTCTCCATGTTGAAATAAATCCCAAAATGACACACCCTCAAATAAATATTTTTTAAATCCCCAAAGTTTATTCCCAAAATCAATCTAGAAGAGAGAGCATCTCTGAATGGGATAGAGCCATCACTTCTTATCCAAAAATTGAAATAGCCACAAGCTTCTTTCTTTTAATGTTTTAAGTAAGATTGTGTTCACAATGACCACTCATTTGGGGGGTTTTCTCAAGTAAATAAAAGTTTTACTGAAACATATCCCAATACTATTTGAAACTTAAAGATTTAAAGCTTGTGCATGCCATCTAAGGCAAACCTTTAACGTCGCAGCTGGTTTGTGCACAAAAATGAAAGATTTCCACCAATGAATGTTTAGGCTTTCCAATACTTACACTGGACAGTAAAAGAAACTTGTCACTTCTGTCAAAAGCCACACATAAAAATTCACTCCATGTAAATAAACAATTTTTGTACACAGGTATGCTGCAATCCCCCTTACTAATCACATGCCCAAAAGCAAGTGATTATCTTTATAACAATGAACAAGCACAGCAACTTAGTTACTGAATCAAAAGTCACACACAAAAGTACTCTCCACTAAGCAAAAATGACCCATGAATGGACAACATTTTAAACAACCAATGACAAAGTGACCACCCGTTTTGTCAAAATGATGTGCATGAGTGGTTTCTGTATAGGGATGCCATCCTTACTGACTACGCATGCACATTATTGAAAATTATTGTGACCTCTTTATTTCGTCCTGTGACATTAATTTCTACGTAAAACTTAAGTCTCATTCTGTTACTTTTGATTCAGTAACCAAGTTGCTGTGCATATCAATTTCTTCTTTGTTATAAAGATAATCACTTGCTTTTGGGCATGTGATCGGATTAGTAAAGGCATACCTGTGTACACAATTCGTTTATTTCTATGGAGGGAATTTTTATGTGTGGCCTTTGAAAGAAGTGGCAAATTTCTTTTGCTGTCCAAAATTTTTATGTATTTTAAGGTGACCACCATTCCCTTGGGCAAAATTTGGGTTCATGATTTTATGTTTAATGCTTCTGTGAGACACTTTTCCTGCTACGAATTTACATGTTCAGTTTAAGATACCTGTACGTCATTTTTTGAAAATTTAATCATTAAATCGGATCTTACAAGAATTAACTTTCTTTTTTTACTGTCAAACATGGATTTGAAAAGCTAAAATTTCAAAATATATCGATTGCTCAAAAAACCTTCCAGTGAGGCTTATGTATCATGCACTACAGAGCACAAACAAAACCTTACAAAAATTTGCCGGCCTCACACAGTACAGGTTTCGTGCTACGCGCTCACAATCACATGCATTGGACTCCCCATAAAGAGATTTCACTTTCTGGTCCCCTCTGGTAGAATCATCTTCCTATGAGCCTAATCATAGCAAAGTCCTCGGCACCTTACTAACGCTTCCCAAGTGAATACCTCGCATACACAATTTTGTGCATATGAGACATTAGCATGAGAACCAGCATGTGAACCAATATGTGCACGTACGCCATTTGTTTGCATTACATTGGTTCAAAATGACGTCACACTTTAATAGGTACATGTACTCATTAACCCAAAAGTTTCGTGTTACAGACATGACTTGTTATTAACAGTGCCCAATCTCCTGAACTGGAATGCATCTACATGTCCCTGTGTGGCAAAGGATTGGGGGTGAAATTAGTTCTTGCATAATTCTACCCAATGTCGGAGCAAAAATGGTTGAACATGACAGGTAAACAAAATTGTACCTCTTTCATTAACCGAAGACATTCTAAATGACTGAGGCAAACCAAATAAAAAGAAGTGTTGTATGTCCCCGCACATAGGTAGTACACGTAATGTCAATGTACAGTGAAGTAACAAATTCAATGAATATCTTCCAATGCAAGAACGCTTTTTAAATCTGGGTTTGCATCAATTTGTCAACCGAAAAACAAGGGCAGTTTGTCTTTAATAAGCCAAACAGTATATCTTGAAATTATGCTTTGCTCTTTTATGACATTCTTTTGAGCACTAAAAAACAAAGCACGATGATGTACTATAAAAGTGTGTAATAACTATTCGTGCTATGCAACATATTCTGATCAGCTTCACACACTTGGAACAGTTACAAAGACACTTCACAAGAAACTGAAGATGCACAAGAAGTTGAAGATGTATTTTCAGTTTTTAATCTTCCTCCATGGTATGAATCAATTAATACAACAGCAGCACTGAACCAGGACACATCAAGAATACAAAATGCTTTTGAAGATCAGTTTAGATTCATTTTAAATACGATCAACTCCAAATTTTGAGCCGCGCTGCCCTTGGGACCGAAAGCAGGAATCAGGAGACTTGGATCTGAACGGGTTTATTGCACACGACCGGTGATCAAAGGAAGATCTAATCCTCAACTACTGACATGTCAGACTGTGGTTGTCAGGGGACTGCCAGGGGGGGGGTTCAAGTCTGGAATCTATATAGGTTAAGAACAACTGCAGTTACAAGTCTGCTAGGACAAGGTTTAGGCAGTATAGTTTAAAGGTGCGACTCTATTCTACCCGATGATACAGGAACTCAAAGATCTCTGCCATACTTTGTGTATTCACACAGATATATATATCACTGAGCAATCTTGAATCAAAGCAATGTGTATGATCAGATCTAAACTATTCAAGTTGGGCTGCAGCATTTAAGGCAATCATGCATTCCATTACAATGCCAACGTTTTTTAATGCACATCTCAACTTATTTTTCCACTCATTAATGCAACTTTTGGTTGCGGATGTACACATGTTACAAAAGGCAGACAGAACATCAACAGAGGACACAAACTGTAAGATCTATACTATACTCTACTTGACAATTAGAACATAGGTCAACTTGGGTTTTCTTAGTTATGAAAGTACTTCTCCCTCAGGACAATGTGTACACAGAATATGACAAACAAAACCAATGCAATGTTGACTGAGAATCTTTAGATATTTCAGTCACATCATTCAACCTACCAAGCTATGTGCAAACAAGTAGTGTACACTTTACAGTCCGTCATCCAGTCTTAGGCAGTATCTGTGTTATTATGCATGTTGCATACAACTGAAGGTCTTGTAAAATGTCAAACAAGCCATTTTGAGAGAAATTTCTGCAACTTTAAGAGCACATGCAGCTTGACAGTATAATCTAAGAACGTTTTCTGAGATCATTCCAAACCATTAGGCATTAGACATAATATATGCAGCGACCCTTTTATTGAAAGTAGTCCATGTATATCGTGTCTCAAGGATGCCTAAATACCTTCTACAAGATCAAAGCTACAATGACACCATGAAGTGGTGACGGACTAGCTGAAGAGCTGAAATGCAACTACCGCTATGATGTCAGCAACCTTCATCCCTCCCTGTAAAGCATCTGCATCAGCAATACAATCTCTTTCCTATTTGCAAGCCCAAATGTATCCCCCAGCAACAAGACTTACCTGAGGAACACTAGTCTGTCATAAAGTTGAAGCACTTCTGACACACGGGGTTAACAGAAAGAAAATCCATTCATTAATAGCAATCTACACAGGTATGAACTCCAACAGCATCACAGGCAGGCCAAGTGACATCTCAAAATGAAACTACCATGCACAAGACAAACGTGTACTACCCGTCATCTTACTTAAGAGCGTACTTAGACAATAAAGTGGGCAGACTAAAAGGTTCTGAAATATAACAAACACTAATCTGTGGTTGGTTACATTAATATATGACATCAGCTCTGGTTCAACTCTGGTTTATTCATGTGAATCAACAATTTGATGAATTTTCTGTTTGCTTAAGATTCAAGGCATATTATTGGTCTGGACGATAAACAGCGTCCACAACTTTAAATCGAATTTGAAAGCTCAACATTACAAATCAAATAACAGGGAAAAGCCAGCACAACCTGACCTTAGGGTTCATGTTCCTATCCCACTCCATTCGGCCTTGACTGATTTTTTTCTATATCCCTGTTCAATTCACTGATCCCTTTTTCATTTACACAAAACTAAAGTAAGCAGCGTTTTGTTCGACAGCATTGTGAGCTGTGTGTTGGGTATGTGTAGCATTTGTTTACACTTCCTAACCTGTACACAGAGAATTAGTGAAAAAGAACATGGCAAACACTGCCCTGGCAAATCTACAACAGTGAATTCATTTCCCTCTAAGTTATGTACATATTTGTCACATGTTTTTAAAGAATTTATGATACAAAACCACACCCAGTGTCCACCACACTGCACACATTGGTAATCCATTTCACAGACTATTCAACAGCATTTTAATAAACTGCAAGAGGAAACAACCCTTTTAAGTTATACTGACGTATGAATGAAACTAAAGGAGACATGGCGAAATTGCTGCAGACCAGACCCAGGCATTGCTGAATACACCGGGGTGATGAGATGAGTATACATGTGCAATCCTACATCACTTAGTTTACGATTTAACTCAACCAATGCAAAATGTTCCTGGGCCTTTTTGGAACTACAATTAACCGGAGTATATCAGGCATACACAAGGACAGGTGTCTTCAGGAATAATCAGACAATCATTCTCAATATACAGTGCCCTGGAGTAACCAGACTCTTCTCGTCCGCAGACAGAAACCAGGTCCAAGGCAAGCATTTCTGTTTTTCATATTGTCCTGATCATCTTTTTTTTAACCGTAGAATATTCTTCTACAAATCCAAACCTCATTGACTGTGTATTTTTTAGAACAAATAGGCCTCACCGCTGTAAACATGCAACAGGCTAAAATATAAGTCATTGAAACTTCCTAACAGTCTTAAATAGGTAGCCACAGCGGAGAAGTAGCTGCAATAAACTGACTTCATACCAAGTCTCTTTGGTGAATCATACACTGTACCAATGAAGAACACAAAGCCTTCAAAGCTCCAATGCACAAGCACAAACCGAGTGCTACAAACAACCCAACTCTGGAGGTTGCGTCGGATGATATAGTACACTACATCACTAGCTGGTGCTAGGTACATACACAGAATGCAGGGCAATGGTTACATGATACACATTGACAGACACTGCTCCAGCAAATTAGAAAGCTCTCACATAAACTCTTCTTGCTCTTCAAATTGAGCACAGCATGCTTTATAAAAACAAAATGCATACATCTTATAATAGAAAAGACAATGTTGGCCCAAAATAGCATTTGTATTTGTAGGTTGGCCTTGTGTCTATCAGAACGACGTGCCTGGCAAGGAAATGTTGGAAGTTGGCTTCTGGATTGATACGCATGAAACTACATGTCAAGTCAGCCACACTTCATCCTCAGTGAGCGGTTACAAATCACCTTGAAATCACAGAAGTATCTAGCTAAGTTGTACTATGTACATAGCATGTAGTCCATAGTGGAGAAACAATGTAAAAACCAATGCACTGTTCCAAAGAAATGAGAGTTGACTGGGTGGGATGATGAAGGCAGTTGTACATACTCTACATTATTGTACCCTATGTCTTGTGGGGGCTGGTAATAAGATGACCAATCTACTGGGTCTTGCACTCCTGTGGCTTCTGGCCATCCTGTAGATTAGAAATGACACTGACATTACATCATCATGACATCACAGCAGGTGGAATTAGGAGTGGAGACAAAAGCACGCAAAAGCTCTGTGTTCAGTAAGATTTCAGACTGACTGATGCACCCAAAACACCAACCTTGAGCTCCCAAAGGATGTTGTCTTAGGTTTGACATTCTAAAGTGCTGCTTGACCATACAAGGCGCTGATGATACGATCATTGTGGATTTCTCTGTCAGACTAAAAACTTTTGAGTGATATCCTGTTGATGTTTGACATCAAATCTGTGAGATTTTGGTAAACTATTCTCAAATTTCCAACCACGGAGCCAACCAAGTTGTTATACTTTTTACTAATCATCAAGGGTGCGATGTGGAACACTAATGACCACTTGTAACATACAGTGTAGCTGTCCAGTTTAGCTAAAACTAGCCAAAAAAATAGAGCCTGGATTTGGTTTTACACATTTCTATAAATCTGCCACTGCACACTTAAGATCTGAAGGGTACAGACTTCCTGTTCCTAGGGCTTCCGCTTTTCAGTACACTCTCAGACTGAGCTTTAAGAATGAGATTGAAACTAAATCCTTGGACAAGGTTACCTTCCAATCATGTCAACATGAATAAAGATTTATCTAGAGGAATATTAGAGTATTTATAGAGAGACACTACGTAACAACCATAACCTCTGACCAAGGTCAGTGCAGAGTAAGTACAGAGGCGATGGTTCCTTGCTCATGATGTTAGCAAGCCATCCTTACCTTATTGGGATCATAATCAGGATCATTCTCATCTTCCTCGTCACCTTCTTCACCATCAGCATCCTGTCAAATCAAAGCAAACAATCACCAATACGGGCGATTCACAACAGTGCGCCTCCACAAGTTTGCAACGCATTAGCTAATCAGAATGCGTGAAATCTGTTGACCCTTTCCAATCGTGTACTGGGTCAACAAATTTCGCGCATTGTGATTGGCCAACGCTTTGCAAACTCTTGGAGGCGCACTACTGTGAAACACCTGTATCATGCAAGTCAATATGACTGCTTGGCTGATCAGGTTACAGATCACACCATTACACTTCATGTTTATTTGATGGGATAAACGTACAACAAAACCTGGGATTAATTGTCACAATCACAGTATTCAAGAGAATAGCAACATGAGAAGACAATCAGTTTTTATTTTCAGTTATGTAGAATAGCCCTGGCTGAATTGTCACAAGAGACAGGTCAACCTGACAATCAGTTGAATTGTCACACAAGACAGGTCAACCTG